GTGCAGCTATGACATACAACTATCTACTGGGGCTTTGGGGGGAAAAAAAATAAAAATAAAAATAAAAAATAAAAAATAAATAAAAAAAAAAAAAATCAGGCAGGTCTGCCCTGGGGCATGGGCTTCAGAAGGACCTGAGGGGAGACATCCTGGAGACAGACAGGATGCGGATGGTGACCTGCTGTGTGGTGGCGAAGAGAGAGGCAGCCTTTGTGTGTCCTGTGAGCTGTAACCTGTCTAGGCGAGTGTCTGTCACTAGGATTTGGATGTTTCTATCGTCTCCCATAAGACCAGGAGCCTCCTGGGGGCAATGTTCCCACCTCTTTTCCAACTGCCCAGAGCGCCTGGACTCCATGTGGCCCTGCAGGGCGATCCAGCTGCACAGCTCCCCGATGAGAAGTCAGGATCTCGGACCAGGGTAACCAACAGCCCTGGTTTGCCTGCGACTGAGGGGTTTCCCAAGACATGAGACTTTCAGTGCTAAAACAACAGGGAAAACTGGGAGGAGCTGGTCACCGCCCCCAGATGGTCCTTGCACAGTTGGAGCCCTGGGCCAGACGCTGTTGGGTTCGAGTTGCTGGCCGATGGGGCCACGTTGAGAAGCTCACACCAACTGCATGGGCCCAGGCCCAGGTAATCAGTTCACATTTATATGAACAGCACCACCCACCTCAGAGCCGGCCCCCAACCTTCTCGAAAAGGCTCTGTGACCTTAGTCCTTTTCAAGAAAATCTACTTCACCTTGATTAGAAGCCTCCTGGCTACACCCCCAAATTTGGCTGCTGTTCAAGTTTGAGAACTCAAAGGCCCCAAAGATGCCACTTTCCAGGCTTGGCAACTGCTCTCAAAAGAAAGTCTCTGACCTTGACCCTCAGGCCCCACAAAACTGACTCCACCCCATCCTCCAACAGGAATTTCCTGAATTCTCTGAAGTACTCCCCGTGTTCCAGCCAACATGGCCTGCTCAAGGTCCCATACCTGTCCCTCCTCCTTCCCACTCTGTCCTCCCCTCCTTCTGTTCCATCTGCCGGAGGGCTCCCTTCATACATCTTCCTGTGCTTGAACTCCACCCCAACTTCAAGGTTCAGCTCAAGGCACCTCTCCATGAAGCCTCTCCGTATCCTCCAGGCAGAAGATGCTCCTGGTTTCTATGGTCCTCTTCCAAAGCCTGACCTCTGGCCAGTCAGGCCTTCCTCCTTGGCCTGAACTAGCTTGGAAAACACTAGAAAGCAGGGTTCACATCAGATTTCGTTTTTGGCCCCCTGCAGTCAGGAGTCAGCATATAGAATTAACACATAAATGGTCAAACCCGTAATGCCTAATTGGGAGACGTTCCAACTGTCTCTCAACCAGTCACCTGGGCACAGCAAGGAGGGCCTCCACAGAGGCTCGTCCACTCATCACTGAGCCTTCCACGTGGCAGACCAGGTGAACAAGAAACTCACAGTCCAGGAAAAGGCTGCTAGGCCTGCTTAACAATTCCGTACCAAGAGGGAAGGACAAGCAATGCCATGGAAGGTCTAGCCCAACTGGGCTCATGAAGGCTTCCCAGAGCACGGGACACTTGAGTCGAGACATAAGGACGAAGGGGGTGTGGCCACGTAAGACTGGGGCTGTGTCCCCGCAGCCATCTCAGAAGAGAAAGCAAGAGGTTTGGGAGTCAGGCACACACTCCGTCTCCGCACCTCCACTCCCCTGCCGGGTGACCACCTGCCTCAGTTTCTGCATCAGTCCAGCCAGGCTGCTGTGAGGATTTGTGGGGATAACGGACGGGAAGCACTCAGCACATGGTCAAGCTCTCCCCAAACACGGGGGATTATTGTCAGTACTACCCACACAGCTCACAGAGGCCAGAGGATTCCAGGCGGCCGGACCACTGAGGCCAGGCTGAGCTGGACAATAATCCTGCCTCCCTCCCCCGACATGGAGGGAGGAGAAACGGAGCTGCTGCCGAGATTCCTGCTGCCAGGTAGACAGGCCCAGGTCAGACTGTGGGATTCTTTTTTTTTTAATATTGCTTATACATTTACTTGTGAATTAAATATTTATCAAGTATCTGTTTATGCACAGGACCCAAGCTGTGGAAGATACACAAGATACTTTTTTGTTTTTTTTGGTGAGGAAGATTGGCCATGAGCTAACATCTGTTGCCAATCTTCCTCTTTTTGCTTGAGGAAGATTAGCCCTGAGCTAACATCTGTGCCAATCTTCCTCTATTCTGTACATGGGACGCCACCAAAGCATGGCTTTTATGAGCGCTGTGTAGGTCCGCGCCCAGGATCTGAATGGGCGAACCCAATCGCTACTCCACCGGCCAGCCCCAGACTGTGGGATCCTGAAGGAGCAGAAGCTGAGAGCCGAGTAGCGAGTGGCCCAGGGGTGCAAGAGGGAAGGAAGCTGGATGCAGGCAGAGGAAGACAGCAATGAGGGCGTGGCTGAGGATGGGCCTGGGCAAAGGAATGAGGCAAAGATCAGATAGAGAGCGAGAGAACATCCTCTCTCCTCCTGCCTGTCCTGCTGAGCTGCTCCCGAGAACTAGTGGAATGACTTCCAGTGATGGACACAGCAGAGCTCTGATATTTACAGGCCACTAGGTCTCTTCAGGGCCAGGTGGGTATTTAAAAGCCTGTCTGACAGTCACCATGTTAGGGGAAAGAGCCAACCACGGACCGGAAACCCCTGATGTGTGCAAATACCCACATCACTTCTCAGCAGGAAGGGGCTAGGGTGGAGCAAGCTGAGATTAAGGCCCTGGCGCCGGTGCCCAGCCACCCAGGGGAACCCACACAGCAGTCTGGGAGGAATCACGGGCCACTGGGGGTGCCTGGGGGCACAGGTTCTTTCTGGCCACACTGGCCTTCCTGCCGTTCCTCAAACACACCGCCACTCTGGGCTTTTGCCTTTACTGTTTCCAGACCACTTATTACTAGCTCCATCGCACCATTCAGGGCTCATCTCAAGTGCCACCTCCTCCAAGAGGCCTCCCCTGACCACCTAATCTAAACCAGCCCACTCCCCACACCTACTACACTCTTGCCCCAGATACCCACACGCTCAACCTCTCATCTCTACAGGTCTTTGTGTCTTTGCTCAGATGTCACCTCCCTCATGAGGCCTTCCCTGACCACCCTGTTTAAAATCATACACCCTCCCCCAGCTCTCATTCTCCCTCCCTGCTTTCCTCTTCTCTGTCTGACACCCTAGATATTTCACTGTTTACTGTCTTTCTCCTCCCGCTGGAATGTCAGCTCCGAGAAGGCAGGCACTATTGTCAGATTGTTCACTCTGTATCGTCAGCATCTAGAAAAGTGCCTGGCATACAGAAGGGGCTCAATAAACGTTTGATGAGTGAATGAGTAAGTGTATATGAATGTTTAAAAGCAACAGCTCTGGTCAGACTGCCTGGGGCCTCATCCCAGCTGTTCCACTTACTGCGTGATCTTGGACCCATTACTTAACTCTCTGAGACTCAGTTTAATCCATCAGTAAAAGAGAATAACAACAGTACCTACATTACAGGATTATTGGGGAGTAAATAAGATCATGCATATAGAGAGGTGAAAACAGCGCCTGGCCCCCAGTAAGCCTCAGCACCGTGCTGGCCTTCATTTCTTGCTTGTTGATTTGCTCACTTGTTTATCATCTGTCTCCCCCACTCTAGTGTCAGCTCCGCCCTGCCCTACTCACTATCGTACCCCCAGTTCCTAGCACAGTGTGGGAACGGGAAATCAGGCCTCCTCTCCAATCAAGGAGCTGGGAGACAGAGCTTCAGCTGGAGGAGGAGTCTCACCAATCTGTTTCTCCAGGGCGGCTGCCTCACAGACGGTGGCCCGGGGCAGGATCCCAGGGTCGGTGAAACTTGTCTGCAGCAGGCAGCTCATGACGAAGAAGAAGAGGATGGCAGCGATGATGGGGATGGCGAGGGTCAGTTGGCGGGCCAGGAAGGGACAGCTAGAGAGAGAGAGAGGGAGAGAGATGAGCAGATAGCCCAAGGGCTCCCTGGGACACAGAGCCACAGCATTAGGTAGGTGTTGTCACCCCAGCAAACACCACAAGCTTGAATAGCGCCTCCCCCTGAGGCAGAGGTACAGCCCCTAGGTAAGTGCAGCCACTCCCCCATCAGTGCCTAGAGCAGACATCACTAACTGATCCTTGTACTTTCCACCCCTGAGCCCATGGCAGATGTGATCAACAGATCCCAGCTCTCTTAATCCGTGCATCGCTGCAGCCTCAGAATCTTTCTTAGCACAGAGCTTCAGGCAGCCACTACCAATGAATTAGATTGTCACTTGACATGAACCATCCATGACAATGTTCACTCATTCATTCAGCCAGTCACTCACTCCACAATATTTACTGAGGTCTTCTCCATGCCAGGCAATACCTTCAACAAGCAAAAGGAAGAATGGCAGTGAATAAGACAAGAGTCTCCCGCTCCCTCAATGAGGCTTATGGTCTAGTGGGGAGAACAGACGTGTAAACAGAGAATTGCCACACAGGGCTTTGCGTGCTCTAATGTGGAAGGGGAAAGCAGCAAAACAGTCAGGACAGGCTTGCTGAAGGAGATAACGCCTAAGCTAAAACCTGAAGAACGAGTAGGGTCAGCCAGGTGAAGGGGTTGGGGGAAAGAGCATGGTCCAGCCACTGCCATTGTCACCCGAAGGGTGGCATTCCAAGTCAGTTCCATCAGGCCCCCTGACCTTAGGGCTGGGAGAATATCCTGCGTGCAGGTCTGACTCTGAGGCCTGCCCATACTATTAACCACCATCCTCCGCTGCCCGGCCTCCCAGAGCCAGAGTGGCACCTGATGGGGTGACGGACTGGTATTTGGGAGATGACCAGCTGCTGGGAGGCACAAATCAGCCAAAGTTCCAGGAGCTGGCACAGTAGCAGGGAGCACACCTGTGGGCATCTACACACTGCTTCTGGAGCCACCATCGTCAGAGGCTCTGGCCTTCAGAGAGGCCCTTGAGGAGCAGAGTCTGCCAAGGCCAATGGCTCCAAGTGGGCCATGTTTCGCTCCAAACACCTCTGTGCTCCTCAGGTTCGAACCTCAAACAGAGCCAGGCTCTCCATGTCACCCACATGACAACCCAACCAGTTCACGTACAACCAGACTTCCTGGGGGATGAGAAGACTTGAAGTCTGAGACTCATAGAGCCCTCAGAAATACCAAGTACTAGCCCCCGGATTTTACAGAGGGGGCCTCTGAGGCCCACAGCCAGATCCAAGGTCACCCAGCCAGACAGGGCTGGGGTCTTCGGACTCCCAGCAAATGCTCTGTCCATTCATCCAACAAATAGTTACTGTATTGAGCACCTACTACATACCCGGCCCTGTTCTAGGCACTGAGAATACCACAGGGAGGAGAATAAAGTTCTGCTCTCATGGAGAAGACAGGCAAGAAAGTATACAGACAGGATGTCAGAAGGTGGCAAGTGCTTTAGAGAACAGTAAGTCAGTGCAGAGGAGAAAGGAGGGAGGGGGTGGTTTGCTATATTATAGGGATGGTCAGGGAAGGATGGAACAAAGTGAAGGAGTGAGCCATGAGGCTATCTAAAGGAAGGGTGTTCCAAACTGTGCAAAGGCCCTGAGGTAGGTTTGTGCGAGGAGGACAATGTACCTGGAAGGGAATGCACAGGGAGATAGTAGGAGGAGATGTGGACAGAGAGGAAGCCCATTATCAGGCTCTTATCCTGAGAGCCAGGGAGGACTCAGATCTGACTTAGAATTAAAGGGGCACTCTGGCTGCTGTCTGGGGGTGGGAAGTAGGGCAGAAGCAGGGCGGCCTGTGCAATAATCCACAAACCAAAGAATGGGGCATACCATTCTCAGCAGGAAAGGCCCTAGAGAGCCACCTTTACCTTTCCCCAGAGCAATGGGAGAGTGTCAGCACCTCTCATCCTCCATGCCCTCACCAACAGGGTTCTCATGCACCAGGTCCCTGCTGACCTTTCACCCCAGTCCAGACCCACGGGAGCTCTTGGCCCGAACCCAAACTCTCCTGCCTACTCCATCACCTCAAGTGAGGAGGAGAGAGACAAAGGCCAGATGATCCACAAGCTCTCCCCAAACCGAGAGGTCCTCACTTCCTCCCTCTCTGGGGGCAAACCTGTCACCAGCAAAGATAGCCACTCAGCCTAGAGAAGGTCCTGCCTCTGAACTGACCGAATCCCACAGCGCAGGGTCACAGGGGCCAACCACGGCAAGCACCACTTCCTCCCGCCTCGGCTGCAGCCTGCCTGGGCAGACACGAGCGAGCCCGGGGGATACTGGAAAAGGCACTTTCAAAACACCCACGTGGGCCGGCCCAACGAGGTGGATCTGAAACTCAGCCCAGGGGCCGTGCTGGGGGCTGGGGGCTCTCCAGAGCCTCTGCTTGTGAAATTATCCTGGAACTTTTTATCCACCCTGACTCAGAAAGGAAGGGCGAAAGGGAGAAGCTAATTTGTAGGAAGTCCTCATCTTGCTTCAAGGGGAAACCCAAGACTGCAGATAACATGATCTGGCAGCTGGAAAGGGCACCTAGGGGCTGCGTCTTTGTGGCAGCCTTATCATGGCCACAGGCCCTTGGGAAGGGTTTTGGTGAAGACAAGTAATAGCAGCAGACAGCATTAAATGCTTGTTACCGCTAAAAGCTTATGTGTGACTTCACGCCACCCTGATGACAACCTTAGGGGGTGGGTACTATTATAAACCTGTTTTATAGATAAGGAAACTGGGGCTCTGAGAGGTGAAGCGGCTGCCCCGAAGTCACACAGTTAGTGGGTGCTGGAGCTAGGATTTGAACCAGGTCTGTTGGCTGCAGAGATGGAGTTCTTACCCACACTGTATAATTAACTAAGACCACAGAGGATGGAGAGAACTAGGAGGGGAAGGTGGGGCTCACGCAGCACGGGGTGGGTTTGCGTGTGTGTACACGCCGGTGTGTGTGCGAGGAATCACACAGCAAGTGGATCAAGCTAGAGACCAAGAGTAGAGTGGAAAACTTCTGATACGAATACATGACCTGCTACAGTGACAGGCATCTCTCCCTCCATCCATAAAATGGTGATAGAGTGTGGGCCAATCCTGGGTCACCAGGGACATGAAGAGGTCAAAAACCCATGGGGGCAAATGCGACCTGTCACACGCAAGTACCCCGGATGTTCTTGAAAAATAACAAGGCATTACTGCAGCTGTTCCTGCCGCGGCACAGGTCAGAGGGATGCTCCAGAATGCTGAGAAGGGAAGGAAAGCCAGGAGGTCAGGAGCTGGGGGGCAGGGCCTTGGGAAATGGCTGAGGGGACAGGAGGAGGCTGATGGGTGGACAGGAAGCTCTGGAGCAACTGAGGAAAGTGCTAGAGAGGGAAGGGGGGGCCTGAGAGACCCAAAGATGTTTGAGGGAAGACTGTTTGAGGGCCTACGGTGAGAACGACAGAGGGTCCGAGAGTAGAGAGGTGGTGGAGCTGACCCTAGAGGGACCCTGGAGGGAAGGGAGAAGATGGTTTGGAAATTTGTGGTGGGAGTACATAGTCAAAGGACACGGAAGAGGGCCGGCCCCGTGGCTTAGCGGTTAAGTGCACGCGCTCCGCTACTGGTGGCCCAGGTTCGGATCCCCGGCACGCACGACGCACCGCTTCTCCAGCCATGCTGAAGCCCGTCCCACATACAGCAACTAGAAGGATGTGCAGCTATGACATACAACTATCTACTGGGGCTTTGGGGGAAAAATAAATAAATAAAAAAAGTTAAAAAAAAAAAGGACACGGAAGAAATTCAGAGGTTGTCTGGAAGGGCTATAAAGAAAAGATGCCTCAAGGGGCCAGAAAGAACCTGGAAGATGAGCAAGAGGTGGTCCAGGGGATAGGTGAGGGTGAGGGGATCGATCCAAGGAGCTGGGGAGGCCTGGGGAGCAGATTCTGAGCCGACAGGGGTCATGGAGGGGCATGGGAGGGCGGTGTTCCTGGCAGAGGCTGGCAAAGGCTGGGTGCCAGGGAAGGATGGGGGTGCCAGGGCGGGGCCAGAGAGGATGGGGTGGCTGGGAGGGGAGGAGGTGACCAGCGTAGATGGGGTATCCAAATGGGCAAGGGAGGACAGGCGGAAGGGACCAGGGGGAGGGGACCAGGGAAGACGGATAAGAGATGTGCAAGGAGACTGGAGAGGCCTGAGGGCAGATTCTGAGAGGCAGGGAGGATGCAGGCCCTGGAGAAGCAAGGAGGGGAGGGTGCCTGGCAGGTGCTGGGAAGGGTGGAGTGCCCGGGAGGTAGGAGAGGATGGGGTGCCCAGCAGGGGACCAGAGGCGCTGGAGTGCCCGTCAAGGGCGGGGAAGGTGGGGTGCGCGGCGGAGGGGATGGGGCCCCTGAGGGGGCGGGGGCGCCGGCGAACTCACTCGAAGACGAAAAAGAGGACGGTGGTGGTGAGGATGAGCAGCAGCGTGAGCGCGAAGACGCCGCCGTGGCCGGCCAGCATGAGGCGGCCGCCGCAGTAGAAGCGGTTGCGGCCCGGGAACACCTCCCACTTGCGCCGTGGGCGGCGGCCGATGCTCCCGCTGCCGCTGCTGCTCCAGCGCGGCGCGGCGGCGGGC